CCACATTTGTTTTCTCTTCTTCCCCTCTGCTATTCTCCTTAGGAGCCTTCATAGATCACAGCTTTCCTGTACAGACTGCCTATTCTCCTCATGCAACTGCTTAAACAAAACCAAGCTTCTTTCTCCAAGTTATTGACATCTTCCCTTTTCTTATTTGTGGCACAAACAAAATCTGATATTTGGGCCAGCATCTCATTATTCCTTCATGTACAAATGAAGTTAATAATCTAAAATACATGATTGTAGCACACTGTAGCACTGTCTTCCCATTGTTCATCGATTTGCTTGAGCGGGCACCAGTAATGTCTCCATAGTGAGACTGGTTGTTACTGTTTTTGGCATATTGAATACATCACGGGGAGCTTGCTAGGCTCTGCTGTGCAGGCAAGATATTCTCAGTAGCTTTCCAGGCTCTCCGAGAGGGGCATAGGACTCAAACCAGCGTTGGCCACATGCAAGGCAAGTGCCCTACCTGTTGTGCTATATTGGTCCAGCCCACTGTACAGCATATGGTTAAAGCAGAAGGAAGTAGAAAGACATTCCATGAATCTATAAGAAATTTTAACTATATCTTGTACAGTTAATATGGTTAAAATATATGATTACATAAAAACAGATTTATTGAACATTGTCTTAATGCATTGGGCTGCAGTTGCAAAATATCAGGGAGAGGGAGGCTTATGAACAACAGATATTTGTTTCTCTAGTTCTAGACGCTAGAGTTCTATAGAGGCTGGACATTGAGAGCCTGGTTGGGTGAACACTCTTTGTTTGTTTGTTTTCTTTTTGGGGGCAACATCTGTCAGTGTTCAGGGCCTTCTCCTGAATCTGTGCTTAGAGATCACTCCTAAGGGCTCAGGAACAATTTGGATGTCAGAGATCAAACCCAGGTTATCGGTATGCACCCTACCTCCTGTAGTATTGCTCTGGCTTTTTAGGACCTTCCTGGCTGCAGACTTCACTGAGTCCATCACACAGCTCAAGTGAAAGGGAGGTCTACTTAGGCATCTTCTTTCATTGTAAGTTCCACACTTGTCAACCAGTTATATCTTGATGGCCCTGCTTCCTAACAACCATCATCCTGGGGTTTAATAAGCCCACTTATGAGTTGGATGGGGGCACACAAATATATTCAGATCATAGTAAGCATAAGCGTGACTTACTCTTCTGATACTTAGGATTGAGTGGCAATGGTAAACCTAAGCTCATGGACAGTGTGTTCTAGTGGAGATTCAAGTTCTTTTCTCTTGCTTCCCTTTTTGTGACCTTTCACACCTGTGAAAATGTTAAAATGTTAAAAAAACATTGTAACCTCTCAGTGCCTGTATTGCAAACCCAAAATAATGCCCAAAAGGAGAGAGAGAGAGAGAGAGAGAGAGAGAGAGAAAGAGAGAGAGAGAGAAGAAATGTGCCTGCCATAGAGGTAGGCTGGGAGGGCGGTGGTGGCAGGAGGAAAACTGGGACATTGGTGGTGGAAAACGTATACACTGGTGGAGAGAATGAGTGTTGGAACATTATTTGATTGAAACCCTATCATGAAAAGCTTTGTGATGGTGTAGCTCATGGTGATTCAATAAAAGAAATTTAATTAAAAAATGAGACCGAGTCTGCTGCTTGCAAAATGTAGACACTGGTCATATTAGGAAGATAAATATATATGTATATAATATGAGGTGGCATACTTTAAAAGACAATGTGAACATCAATATTGTGGAAGTTTGTGAAAGCAGAAACCAAGCCTAGAGTGAAGAGATGTTCCCTAAAATCTTGAGAAGTTTTGCCTCTTTTGAATCAAATGTACTATAGAAACTTTATTCCTCTGATTATTAGATCTAAACCCATAGGATGTTCTGCTACTCTTCCAAAGGCTCAGAGAATTTCCACACAGGGAGTGTCTGTGGTTCCGGTCCTTCTTACATGGCCTGACTGTGCCACTTTGCAATGTGACCATGAGGCTGGTGGACAGTGAGTTCTACCACTATCTCTGTACTATCCAACTATTTGCTTCTTGGTTTTGTGCATGTATCCTAAAGAATTGGTAAAGTCTTTTTTGGTGGAAGTAAGGAGAGGAGGCTCTCAAGCAATGATCAGGAGAGCTGGGGCCACTCCTAGTGACACTCAGTCCAGTTGATTGGATGGCTCAGTACTCAAACCTGGTGATGCAGTGCTACTCAAACTCTGGTGCTCAACACCATCAGGATGACCCCTGTCCTTATTCTCTCTAGAAGCATTTTTTGGGAGCCATGTGATTCAGGGAATGGAAATTAGGGTTTCGCACATATAAGGAAGGTGATTTAGCCCTTTGTACGCCCCTTCTGATGCAGGAGTGATTTATTTTTGCCAACTACCTCCACTGACACTCATAATCACACCTTGAAGTCAAACACTGAAACTGAGTCCTGTGAGCCCAGCATTACTCTGCCAGGAGGAAGCCAGTGGACTGAACCTCCTAGGTACCCAATGTACATATGATAACATATGAGTCTTATTTGTGCTGCTTGTCTCTGGGCTTACCTTTGATCTCTCTGACTGTGAGCCTTTCAGTGATTTAGTCATGAGCATCAGAGTTTCCCTCCTCATGTTACAGAAGCCCCCAGGAGTATAACTCATTATCATTCCTTTTACATTAAGGTGAGTAGCACCGGATAGGTCAGACAGATTGTTTATAGCATTTATTTGTTCTATCACTACAGAAGAAGCATTTCAAAATGAGTACAAAAGGATACTATATTCCTCAAGGGGCACACCCTTGTTCACAGCTAAACAGAAATAATTTATCATCATCACCAACGAGTTTGGATATACAACTGCATTATTTTTCATTTACAATCCCGCCCATGTATTTGCCGAAAAAGTAACTGAAGACTTAATGGTACATTGTATAGAAACAGATTGGACCCTAAGAATCACTCCACATAGCATTGTAAAAAAGTGGTAGAAAGAATTGGAAACATATTGCATATTAAGATCTGGTTACAAGTGTTCACAGTGAATGCGACCAACGTGCTTGTCTTCCTGGTGACTGTACATTTTAAATAATTCTGGTTTGGTTTCATTTAAAGGTAAAAAAAACCCATACACACATTGAACTGAATGTGAGATACTAGGCTTCAAATAAAGTTGTGTCTTAATTATTGCTGTAACTTAGGAACTGAAGAAGAGGAAAACATATTTGTTTCATGACTTGTCTAAGTAAGTCCATTTCATCATGATTTTGCTTTGGAAATACAAAACAAAATAAAGAACAAAACAAGATAAATTAAAAAATAAAACAGAAAACCCACATCTCCATAATTTGTAGCCTCTAATTTGGAGATGAAATAAGCTATTATCTGAAGTGACTGGTAGTAGGACATCCTTGGGAGATAAAGTAATAGTAACACAACTCTTTTTAGTAACTCTTTAACTAGGCAGCCCAGATTTATGGTACATACATTTTATGGTACATGTATTTATGGTACATAAACAGAAGGGTCTTGGGTAGAAGGACGTGTCCAGACTTCTTGCATCCAGGGAAGGTGGGTGATGGAAAAATTAGAGAGATGCTAAAGAGGGATTTCTCGTTGTATTCCACAGATAAATCTGCTACTCATAGCACACAATTTTGTGGTACTTATTTTAAAAACAATAAGGCATGAAACCTAGGCAGACTTCAGTATACAGTAGTTCTCATGACACACACACTGTCAGACGAGAGAACAATACAACAGAACAAAAAAAGTGAGGTCATGCAAAAATACTTTTACCATCTAGAAGAAAACCATGATCAGCTTTTGGTACAGGACATGGCCTCAAACATAATTTCACTAATTGTTGCCATATATGAAACCTTACTTTAAATACAATAGCTTAAAAAATGGTGTTATAAAACAATAAAATACGTGTTATAATTATATTGGCTCCAAATGGCAGGTAGAAGGGAAAGAATTTTAGAAAAGAATCCCCACGCCACTATTTATAGTTCTTTATAGTTAAGTTTTAAGTTAAGTTTATAGTTCTTTATAGTTAAGTTTTATATGGAGCCACTCAGAAAAATATCTCCTTTCAAACAATTGACTCTGCAGGATGGAAAGAATAGGGTAGGCAAAAAAAAAAAAAAAGCGAGCCCAGTCGCAATCTAAGCAGTTTCTCACCTTGAATGTGTTACTGTCTCTGTAACTGCATATTGAGCTACATCCGTGAATAGACCCACTTCTCTCTTTGTTCCTTTATTTGGTGCATCCATATGCCACTGCCTAAATCATTATAATTTCATTTATTTCTAATTTCAAAATGCCATATCATCTGTAAGCACAGAAATCCATGACTCAAGAATATTTTAAAAAACTACATACTTTCAACAAAACTTGAATGTATATGAACAATATGTTTGTGAAGACTAAAGAACAAATTATAGAATTTATAATAATTTCAGTGAAGTATATACTTATTGGTCTCCTCAGAGACTGCTATCAGTATGATACTTCTAGTGTGTTTATCTCTGGTAAGCTTCCCAAATCCTTGACTGTTTTAGAATTCATTTAGAGCAGGAGTTCTCAAGTGGGGGTAATTAAACCTCAGGGGATACTTGAAAAATTCTAAAGATATCTTTTATTATTAATTGAGGATGCTAAGTGGCATGTAGGGAGAGTAACCAGGGATGTTGCTAAGTCTTCCACAATGCAACAGAAAGTTCTTACAAGAAAATATCTAAGTTATGAACTGTTAGTTGTTCAAAGATGGTATTTATCAGATGGTACTTGTGTATGATATTCCCTGTATGTTCATATTAACCTCAGAAAGTTTCAGAAAAGACATGTTCTATGATAACTGAAATTGTAAACTATTCTCTGTTTGGGATTATCATACTTAACATGAAGGGAGATTTTTTCTGGTTGGTTAGTAAGGCCTTGAAGAGACTCTGGATGCCCCAATCAATGGGGCAGTGCTCTCAACTCTAATACCACCTGCTTCTTCCCTAACAGACCTGGGAGTGGAATGGGATGTGTTGGTGAAGATTTTGCCACATGATAAACCAAAAATCTACAATTCTCCCAGTGACAAAAGACATGGGGTCAAGAGTCCTATTTATGTGCAGACATATGGATGCTGCCTTATCCTTATGGTAGAGTTTTAATCTCTTTCTTTGAAAGTTGAGTTTAAAACAGGTGCGATGTATTAGAATCTGCTGGCCTCTCTAGTTGTAATTTTTAATTGGGAAATTAATGGTTATCCTGAATGTTTTCATTTTTGTTTTTGAAACAAGAATAATACACAGTGAAGATAGAGAAACAAGTTTATCTACAGTCAGAAATACAGGCCTGCAACTACTAAGCAATCATGTTCTTAGAAAAATGAGGACTAGGATTTGCAGGCAACAGTCTTCCTGAGGTAAGTAGAAAATCTCAGAGAAAGAAAACATAAAAAAATATAAATTTAAAAAAGAAATGAATAAGGAATTTGGACTAAACCTTTGGCTTCTGAGGAGTTTTACCATTTGAGAAGAAATTAAGATCCGAATTACAGAATTGTTGTTGGAAATGTAGTGATAGACTTTTGGGTCATTAAAGAGATGAAGAAGAAACGGAGATGAAGAAGAGGAAATAGACATCTTTAGGTATAGATAAACTTTTTCCACCGATAGTAGGAAAGTGAAGCCACTTGAGCAATATTCAAGTGGTTTCTAAACTGGGATCAAGTTGTAAAGATTCCCCACCTACTTTATTTAGTGGATCCTATATAGTTTCCCCCCAATAGTTTGTTTCACTATACATAATAGATTAACATGATACATGAAGTCTGGCACGGGCTCTCTACATAGTGTCCCAGCCTGCTGAGGGGTTCCACCCACATCTGCCCAGGTGTGTGAATTCTCTGCTCAGTACAGGGGCTGGCTCATTCTTTCCTAGGTTTTGTCTTGATTATAACACTCTCATAAAATGGTGGGATGCTTGCTAGCTAAGTGAGGGAATTTCAGATAGCAGTCGATAGAAACATCAAGTAAAGGCCATTTGAAACGGTTCCAAATATCACTTACCATCTAACCATAAAAATTTCCTTGTTTTCAAAAGAAAATCAAACACAAAACAAATAAACAAAACAAAATAAAATGAAAACCACCTAAAAATTAAAGCACAAGGCTCTCATCCAGTGTTCAGTCTGTACTCAGGCCGATGGCAGGCAGCATCTGTTTGTGCTTTTCTTGGCGGTCTATGAAGCACAGGGGAGTTTAGCTCATGTGGAAGCGATGTTCCCCTCGGGTAATGTGGGAAGAGAATTCATACCTGTCCTGGCTGTGGTAGCCACACATGTTGCACTCAAAAGGATCTCGGAAACCATGGCAACCCATATGGATGGTGTACATGACATGGTCCAGGAAGAGCACCCTGCAGTGTTCACATTTGTACACTTTCATCTGCTCCCCACTCATGCCGATCACTCGCAAGGCATCCTGGGAGCCGTCAGAGGCTGCCCGTAGCATCTCATAGGCCTGGTGCTCCTCCTTGATAGACAGGCCATTGCGGGAATGAGGGTTGGTCAGGTAGATGAGGCCACTTCGCTGCTCCTCGTTATTACTCTCGGTGTCTGTTGAGTCTTGGCAACTATTGCTGGGGGACACTTCTCTTTCAGAAGACACTGATTTGGTTTTGGAGAGAAGCAGCAGATTTTCCACAGCGCTGTCCTGGGCTGAGTGGTTGGTACGTGGAGGACCCTCTGTGTGGGACTTGTGGAGCTGATATATTGGACTGATAACCGGGACCACCTCGGAGCTTCCAGGCGGTGTCTGTACCAGTGGACGCAGAGACTCCGCTCCCAGGTAGCTGATGGCATTATTGATGGCTTGGTCCATCACATGGGTTTGCATGAGCTCATTCTCCTTCTCATAGCTGGCACTGCCATCATAGGGCATGTCTAGGAGGCACTTGTCCCCTATGAGAAGTAGAAATCAGTGTGACATGATTACCTATGCACATGGGAACAACAGAAGACATGAACACCAAGTGGGGAAGGGCACCTAAGTTCAGGGTATTTTAGATGTTGAAACATTCAGCAGACATGAAACATGAACACCTCTTAAATCAGGAAGCCAAATAGTCTATATGCCTATGGTGCCTCACCTGGGGATCTTCCCAGGGTGAGCATTTAAAGAAATTTGTTTGAATAAATAAATAGTAAGAAACATGGAAAAGGTCAACTTAAATGCATTTACTCAAGTGAACTAAACCAAATTATTTTATATTTCAACATTATCACATTTAATTAAAGATTAATGTTAAATTCTGTATTTTTGTAAGTAATTTATAATAACTGCATAATTTATCATATATTTATTTACATTTATCATATATCATACATTTATTTAAGTTGCATTATTATATTATTCACAATATTGTATACAATGCTTATTTGAGATATGTAATATTTTAATTTGTGACACTGATACTTTAGAATAAAATAAAATGAACATACAGGCATACTATATACAGTAGGTTCTTAAACAACGTACATTTTAACATTCAGGGTCCACTTAATTGCAATTCTTTTCTGTCTGCATTCACAGATTCAATGCAGGTGTCTGTTGGTTAGCTTGTTGAATCAGAAGATAAAAGACTCATGGATATGGAAGGGATCAACTTTAAATTATACTCTAATTTGCAATTGGGATGGGGGTCATTTGCTTCTGATTTCAAAGTTGTTCAGTGGTCAACTGTATAATTTATAATAAAATGAGAGGACTTCAACTAGCAGTGAGGGTAAAATAAATATTTAGACTTAAAAGTCATTCTCCATATACTTTCTCAAATGGCGCTCACTTTTAAACTTTAGCAGCACAGGACTGTTTGCTATAGAGATAAATGGGAAGAGTTGGGAATAAAATAAGGGAACTACATGGGATAAAGATATGGATTCAAAAGTTTACTGAACATCAATAATTCCCAAGCTAGCAAGTTAGCTTTGCCTCAGAGATTCATAAGCTGGTGCCTGGGTTTGTAAGAGCAGCAAATTCTTGCCCCGAGAAAGGTGAAAATTGAGAAAGCTTTTGACTTCTCATAAATACCTTTTAAGTAAATATTTTCACAAAGAAATTAAGCAAGTTTCCTTGAAGATGCATTTGCTCTATGCTGTTTTTAAATTCATGGTCTCTGGCTTAAGTAGAAAATTCATGAATTAACATAGTCATTGTCAGGACTATGACACTGACTTGCTTCACAAGTACAAATGGGCCCAACAACATAGACTCTGCAGCCAACAGAGAAGACAGACACTAGAGTATGATCATACAAAGAATGCATTCCAGCCTGAGAAGATAGAGAACTCTTCCCACAAAGATAGAGATCGTTTTATACCAGAGTGTTACAAGACTTGCTGACCTACGAAAATATAGTAGGTGAGTGGAATTTTGGGTCCTAGCACTGAGAGCAGCAAACAAAACAAAATAAAACAACCTCAAAAACACAGAGAGGAGAAAGATGAGGGGCTGTGGAGGCAGGGTGAGGGTCCTGGGTCTGGGCAACATTCTCTCAACAGGTCAGGTTAAACCTAGTGATGCTTTGTTCAAAGGAAAACTGATAGGTGAAAGTTCCCTTCTCATTCACAGGAGAAGAACATAGGGAAAGGAATCACTTGTGGCTCTCCTCAGCATCTATTTAAGTGGAGGAACACATTTCTCCCAGGCTGACATCACTTCTCTAGTTCTTAGTAAGAACAGAAGAAAAAAAATTCACAGTTTATAAATTTAATTGCCCTTTCCTTAAAAAATATAGTGACCACTGATAACTGTACTAAAATAAGTAAATCCCATGGTTCTTACACTCTGAACCTTGTAGTAGATTGTTATCATCTAACGGCCTGACTTCATTCATTTTAATCTCCTTGTATCAGAAATGGCACATGTTCTGATAATTAAACAATGTGATACTTAGATTATAGTCACGCCCTTCAGGGCAACTGAACAGAGGAAAATCTCTTTGCAAACTGAATGGCAGGGGTCAACACAGAAGTGGTGTTTCCCTCCATTAAGTTTTAGAAAGAAGAAACTAGAGAGAACACAGAAACTATATGCTTTTGTGTTGGAGGGACCAGAGGGATAGTACAATAGGTAAGGCGCTTATTTTGTGAGTAGCCGGCCTGGGTTTGATCCTTCACACCAATGAGCACCACCAGGAGTGATCCCTGGGCAAGGAGCCAGAAATAAAAACCAAAAACAAACAAAAAAGAACATGTTTTGTTTCATTCACCCCTCAAAAGAATGACTCTGCCCTGGCTTGTACCCCTGTATATCCCTCAATCAAACTTGGAAGCAGGAAGGGGAAGGGTGGCCAATTCTAATAAATACAAAGCACTTACAGTAACCAAAATGTTATTTTCCCACCTGACCATCCATTCCCCCTAATGCCCTGGGTCCATGATTTCCCAAGTAACTACTGAAGGCAGTTGTTTAAAAAAACTTGGAACCAGTAACAAATGGATGGAGAAAAAAGTGTAATATATTATATTGTCACATGCTGAAAGTGGATACTGTCAGTGGATACAGAATTTGTCTTTCCTTAAACTTCATAAAGTGAGAATAAAAACCTGTAAATTTTACCTTGGTGCCAGCTAACAAAAAGGTCACATATTCTAGTGAAATACATATTTAAAAAATTGATAACTCAGAAAAGAAAATTCTGGCATGAGACATAAGGCAAATCTCAACTATTAATCTCACTTTCAAAGCCTTCAATATGAACCAATAAATCCTTTACATTTTCTGTAATTTACTCTTTTTTTTTTTGCTTTTTGGGTCACACATGGTGATGCTCATGGGTTACTCCTGACTCTGCATTCAGGAATCACCCCTGACAGAGCTCGGAGAACCATATAAGAAGCTGGGGATAGAAACTGGGTCAGCTGCATGCAAGGCAAATGGCCTACCCACTGTACTATTACTCAGACCCCAATTTACTAATTTTTTCATCAATTCCAATAAGTGTCTTTTTTTCACTTCTTATTAAAAAGCAGCAGAAAGGTCTGCTAAAGAGAACCAAGTAATACTGCAGAAGTGTTTAGTGAAATTGGCTGTCTGGCAGGAAAAGTCCTAGATGCTGAGTGCTGCAAGAGGTAGCCTAAAGTTCTAGAGTATTCTTCCAAGGGGCTGGGAAGCACTCTCCAACCAGGCACACTGATAACTGTTTTTTCCCCCGCAACCAAATTCTACAGTATGCTGAGAGAGTAAAGAGAAGTCTTTAACAAAGACTACATTTTGCCTTACCTGATTTGCTCCTCCTCCCATCCCCCATCGCCCATCCTTGGCATTCTTTCAGGATTTAGAAAAGTGGAGAGCTCTCATAGGAAAAAAAGTCTCAGATACAGTGGGAAGAAAGTTGAAATGTCAATCAAGTTATATCAGCCAAAGTAGAACAAGCAGGATCAAAGAAATGTCATGGTTACTGAGAAAATATTTTCTTGCAAAGCAGGAGAAGAAAGGAAGTAACACAGAGACCAATAAGCACATATTAGGAAAAAAATATTAATTCAAGGAAGATTAAATGTCTCATAATTGCTTTGTAACATGGAGTAAAAATATACTAAAAGACAGCATACTAAAGTTCCAGAATGAGCTGAAAAAGATTTCAGACTCCAGTCAACAAAATAAGGTCTTACTTGATATTATTACAGAATTAACACGTGGACTAAAAGTATCCAGCACTAGAAGAAAAACTAGTAAAACAATGCTAATGGATGTAGAAGACAAATTATCCCGCATAAGAACAACTCATACCCCTAAGAGTAATAGTTGTTGATGCGATAAAAGATGTGCTTATAAAAAAAAAAGAGAGGACTTCTAAGAAATGAAGAAAACAAAAGGGAATCTCAAGACTAATACATGTTAGTTAACACTTCTAATTTTAGATGTACTCAAAGATATACATGAGAATGACTGAACTTTATGAGAAAAATAACATCCAATCCCATAAGAAAATGGGGCAATGAAATGAACAGGAACTTTATCGAAGAAGAAATTTGAAAGGCCAAAGGCACATGAAAAATGCTCTTCATCAATAGTCATCAGGGAGATGCAGATCAAAACAACAATGAGATATCATATCATACCAGATTCTGGCACATATCCAAAAGAACAAATGCTATCAGTGTTAGCATGGATGTGGGGAGAAAGGGACTCTCCTTCACTGTTGGTGGGAATGTTGATTGGTACAGCCTTTTTGTAAAACAATATGGAGAGTCTCAAAAAACTAGAAATTGAGTTCCTATTTGACCCAGCAATACCATTTCTGGGAGTACACCCTAGGGACCAAAACCACACAGCAGAAACACCATCTGCACTTCTATGTTCGTTGCAGTACTATTCATCATAGCCAGAATCTGGAAACAACCTGAATGACCAAGAACAGATGAATTATAAAGAAACTATGGCACATTTACACAATGAAATACAATGCAGCTGCTAGAAAAAACGAAGTAATGAAATTTGCCTATAAATTGATAGACATGAAGAGTGTCATGCTGACTGAAATGAGTCTGAAGGAGAGGGACAGATATAGAATGACTGCATTCATTTGTGGTATATAAAAATATATATAGTAGAAATCCATGGCTACGGAAAACAGGGGTTAGGAGAACTGATCAGTGGTTGGATATAATCACCAGTGTGTGGGGCTGAGGGTCGGTAAGATACAGGAGACCTGTATGAAAATAATAGCTGGGCATGATCATGCTGGTCAAAAACCGAGTGTTAAAAGTAGGTAAAGGGATATTCTTGATAACCTTTCAGTATCAGTACTGCATAAATGCCATAAAGGGGGGAGAGAGAGAGAGAGAGAGAGAGAGAGAGAGAGAGAGAGAGAGAGAGAGAGAGAGAGAAGAGAGAAGAGAGAAGAGAGAAGAGAGAAGAGAGAAGAGAGAAGGAGAGAGAGAGAGAGAGAGAGAGA